CGCTTGTGGTTTGTGGTTTTTGCCTTTATAAGCAGCCTGTAAGCTGAGCTCGGGGCTTCTCCTCTCCGAGTGAGGCAGGAGCCCGTCTGCGCAAACAATTAAAATCCTCTTGCTTGTTGCATCTCCTGGTTTGAGGACTGAGTTATTGGGGTGCAGCCTCCCGTGAACGTTGGGTACCCCAGAGTGGGGGTCCAACACTTTGTAGATTCATTTCTCTCCTTCCACTTCTATGAAGGTTCTAAGGATTGAACTCAGGTAACTAGGCTTGTGCAACAAGGGCAACAAAGGCCATCTCACTAGACCCCACAGATTAAAAAAACAGAGATGGATCCTTTTTAAATATCATTCCAAGCCTGGTGAGGTGGTGCATGTCTGCAATCTCAGCTCATGAGAGGCTGATGCAGGAGGATCAAGAGTTCCAGGAAAGCTGGGCGAGGTGTCTCATGCCTTTAATCCCAGTACTTAGGAGGCAGAGGCAGGTGGATCTCTGGGAGTTTGAGGCCAGCCTGATCTACACATATCGAATTCCTGGTCAGTTGGATAGGGGCTACAGGGAGACCCTGTCTCACAATGCAAATTAAAACTGCTTATTCGAGCCAAGTCAGAAAAAAAAAAAAAAAAAAAAAAAAAAAAAAAAAAAAAAACCAAAAGAGTTCCAGGGCAGCTTAACTATAAAGCAAGACCATGTCTATAAAAAAGAAAATTCCATCTCTAACATAAAGAACTAGGCAGAGGGCAAGAATGTAGAGAAATCCACAAGCCTGACTAGTAGTAGTACACGCCTTTAATCCCAGCACTCAGGAGGCAGAGGCAGGCAGATCACGGAGATCAAGGCCAGCCTGGACTACATTGTGAGTTCCAGGCCAGCTGGAGCTACAGGGAGATCCTGTCTCAAAACACAAACAAACAAACAAACAAAAAAAAATCCACAGAGGCCAGGCATGGTGGCTTTAATCTCTGCACTTGGAAGGCAGGTGGATCTCTGTGAGACTGAGGCCAGCCTGGTCTATATAGCAAATTCCAGGTCAGCTGGGGTTATAGGGAGCCCCATCTCAAAAAGAAAAAGGAAAAGAAAAAGAAATCCAGAGAGAGGCTGGAGAGATGGCTCATGGGTTAAGAGCACTTACTGTTTTTACAGAAGTCCTAGCACCCACATGGTAGTTCACAACCACCATCTGTAACTGCAGCTCCAGGGAATACAATGCCCTCTTCTTGTCTCTATGGGCATCAGGCATGCACATGGTGCACATGCATAGATGCAAGCAAACTTCATACACATAAAATAAAAAAACAAATATTTTGAAAAAGAAATCCACAGAAAGATAAAAGTTGATAGTGAAGATGTGACAATAAACGTGGGATGATTACATTAGTCTCTAATCAGTTCTTTGACATTTTAGGACAAAAACACTAATTCTTTTATCATTAGTCATCAAGGTTAGAAGACTGAAGAACCAGCATCCTGCCGAGCTTCCTCCAAGTGCCATCCATGAAGCTACTAGTGACCTCACTCGCTCACTCACTCACTTGTAGAGCAGGCTTGGGGCACTGACAGTAGCCCGGAATCCTTGGGGGGTCTGCTCAACCTCATAGGCATCACAGGGCTCATCAGAGTAGTCCATGGAGTCTGCAAAGAAACCATAACATCGCTAAAAGCAGTTGCTCTATGGAAAACAGCCTCCTCCTTACCTGTTAATCTCTCTCAGGGTTTAACAAAGTCAAGCAAAGGTGCAAAGAACAGCCTGACCATTACTCTAGTTTTCCTCCTAATCTGCTCTTGGAAGAAGTGAAGAAAAAGAACAAAGTGGTTATTTTAAATCTCTCTGTCTCAGAACACTGGAAAAACAGTATACACACCAATATTCGGCCGTTTTCTCTTAGAAAGTTAAGATGCACTAAATAACATGCTTTATTATTTTTCTGTTGAGATGAAATTCACAAACATGAAATTCAGCCTTTTAAAGTACACAAGTCAGTAGATTTTAGTATTAAGGCACACAATTACTTCAGTAACCTATTAGTAGATAAGAACAATACTAGAATTCATTCCATAGAGCCTAGACAAAGAGAGAGGTGGGGCAGAGTGGCATAGACCTGGAATTCTAGCACTTAGGAGACTGAGGCAGGAGGATTTCTGATTCCAGGCCAGCCTGAGGGAGAAAGAGAGATAGAGAATATGATGAGAATGAAAAAAAGGACCTCAAAGCCTCAAGGCTGCCAGCAGGTGGGGAGGATCACAGGACAAAATGACCCCCAAGGTTTAAGGCCCAATGGAAAGGCTTATGAACCAAAAGGGAAAAGTTGCAAAGAACCTGAAAGGTCCTAATGCACTAAACCTAAGTCCAAAGTCATTATCTTGAAAATATGTATACTCGACTTCAACTGCTTGGTTTATTTACTAAATTACCATATATTACAATAAAGTTAGTTGCGTCTTTGGAACTATCAGTGTGTGACTACCAAGAAGAAAAGAGAAATAACACAATAATAACAGCTAACATTACTGAACACCGGACTAAATCCTTCACATGTGCTTATTTATTTCCAAAAATTCATATTCCTTTACAAATTACAGATAACAGGGTCTTAATTTGGACACAGAATATTATAGTTAGTAATAATAATTGACTAAAATGTACTCCATGTGACATTTAAGCTTCTGTACTAGATGAACTAGAACTTGATTTCTGAACTGCAATCAAGAATTCCTCATTTAGGGCTAGAAAGATGACTCAGGGGTTAAGAGCACTGGCTGTTCTTCCAGAGGACCTGGGTTTGGCTCCCAGTACCTGCATGGTAGCTAACAACCATTAGTAACTCCAGCTCTAGGGGATCCAATGCCCTCTCCTGGCCTCTGCAGGCATTGTATGCATGTGGTGCACTTACATACATGCAGGCAAAACACCCATACACATAAAATAAAAATAAGCTTAAAAAAAAAAAATGTCTCATTTGTGCTCAACCTGTCTGTACTCTTGACTGGAGCTGAGAGTCAAACATCTCCGATTTCAGGACTGAAACAGAAACAGTGAAATAAAGTCTTGCTGCTACAATGCAGAGATTATTTTACTTCTCATCTGACCTAAAAGCAAATAAGATTACCTTGGTAGAAGTCCCCATCTTCTTCATGTTGGTAAATCTTTTCCTGAATAGGATTCTTCCTGTAATTCCGTCCATCAATTGTTATAAGCTGTGGGCGTAGAACCTCCATGACCCTCTCTCCAAATAATATTCTGGCAAACTCCTGAAAAATAAAGCAGGCGGATCTCTGTGAGTTCAAGTCCTACCTGGTCTCCATAGTGAGTTCCAGGCCAGCTGGGGCTGCAGGGAGACCCTGTCTCAAAAAGACCAAAAAAAAAAAAAAAAAAAGAAAAGAAAAGAAAAACTCAGTCCAGAGAAAAATGACTTACTCTTGCTGCCAAGCTAGATGACCTGTGTTCAGTTCCTAGGACCTACATGGTTGAAAGAGAGAACTGACTCTCAGGCTGTTCTCTGACCTCCACATGCAAACACACATGAAATAAATAAATATAAAAATTTTAATTTAAAATTCTATTATTGGGGGGGCTAGAGAAATGGCTCAGCAATTAAGAATACTGGCTGTTCTTGCAGAAGACCAGGGTTTGAATCCCAGCACCCACATGGCAGCTAACAAAGGAGATCTGACAGCCTCTTCTGACCTCCAAGGGCGTTGGATGACAAGGGTGCACTTACCTACACGCAGGCAATACACCCATACATGTAAAATAAAATTAAAAAATGAATAAAAATTTTTAAAGTTTAAAAAAGATATTATGGGGGCTAGAGAGATGGCTCAGTGGTTAAGAACACTGGCTGCTCTTGCAATGGACTGGGGTTCCGTTGCCACCACCCACATGACAGCTAACAACCATCAGTAACTCCAATTCCAAGGGATCTGAGGCCCCCTTCTGGCCTCCATGGACATTGCATGTACAAGGTACACTCACATACATGCAGGCAAAATACTCATATAAATGAAAGTTAAAATTTTTAATTCAATTTTTTAAAAAACTCTTATATGGAGGCCAGAGAGATGGCTCAGTGGTTAAGAGCACCAGCTTTTTGCAGAAGACCTGGGTTCAGACTCCAGCACCCACATGGTGGCTAACAGCTGTCCATAACTCCAGTTCCAGGGGACCCAACACCCTCTTCTTTTCTCCACAGGCACTGCATGTCACAGGTGCACTTACACACACACAGGCATAACATTCATATACATAAACATTTTTTAAGTTAAAAGAAGAACCTCTTTTATGAACCATCATGTAGGCCTGAAAGGAAAGACCTGGGCATCAGTTCACAGAACACCCCAAGCAAAAGTAGTATCACTTTCTTTTGGCCTTCCCATTTGTAAGTTGTTTTCTGTCAATTGCGTTTTCCATCATTGTACTACACTCCTGACTCACAATGGACAACAAAATAAAATTTGTAAATTATTTATTGCCCCTCCAAGAAGTTAAGAAGCATTAATAATGTACAGCCTGCCCACAACTTTGAGAGAATACAGATACCTTATTATTTTAAGGGAGCCCAACCTTAACATTTACCTAACCATTTGTAAAGTGCCTCCATTCTTTCTGTCCAATGTAATAATACAATGAAGAACATTTAATACACTATTCATGAAGAGAGGAGGCAATGCTTTTAATGTGCTAGAAATATATACCTAACAATCAGATCTACTTCCCTGTCAGAGTACAGTTAAAATATGACTTAACCGCTATGCGAGGGGGTGCACGCCTTTAGTCCCAGCCCTCGGGAGGCAGAGGCAGGCGAATTTCTGTGAGTTCGAGGCCAGCCTAGTCTACATAGTGAGTTCCAGGACAGTTGGGGCTACAGGGAGACCCTGTCTCAAAAAAGACTAAAAAAAAAAAAAAAAAAAAAAAAAAAAAACAACCAACAGAGTTCTCAGGTCAACATACTACTGAGAAGGAACCCGATTTCTACCCATTGCCCAACAGGCTGTACATTACTTAACTGGTAAGCCAAGCTTCTAGTCACCACTTAATAATCTAGGTAATAAAGACTCCTTATGAGGGAGCTGTGGTTAAGTTCAACCCACGTTCCCACCACAGACAGCTTGATCTTCAAACCCCACATACTTAAAAGTTCCAGTGAAAACAAATCAATCCTTACTAACTACACTAATGCTCAGTCCAACCCTCTGCCAAGTGTCTTTAACTGGTAGCCTCACAGACCCAAGGAGAGGGTTTGTGTTTTGGGAAAGGAAATGTTGAGGACGCAACGATGGCATTGATAACCCCGTTGACAGTCCTTTAGCACTCCCCCGTCCCCCTAAATATAACGTTCTGCGCAAAAGCAGACTTTATTGTTAAGGCTGGGCCCTGGGACCCGAGCTCTGGAGGAAGATGTAGTTGTTGTGCAAACCTTTCCTGCGCAGCCCCAGACTGACTGTGAGCAGGAAGGAAATCATCTAACCTTGTGTCATGGAGATTGGGAGAGGGAAAGGAAAAGTGTCTTGACGTGACACCGGGGGAGAAGCTGAGGTCCTAAATCATAAAAGGCAACAGAAAACCAAAACGCCAGGCCTTCAGGAAAACTAGAGAGCGTCTGCAGACGAGCGACCCGGAAGTGCTCTGGGAACGCTCCAGCCCCGCCCAATCAGGCCACGCCCACTGCGGCGTGAACCTGCGCACCCCGGCGTCCGGGTCGCAGCGATCGCCGCTGCTCCGCTGGGTCTTAGGGGCGGGGCTATCAAGTACCCGAACTTCTGAGGTAAGTGGCCGAGGATTCCAGAACCTTCGGGAGTTGGGTTGGGATTTGATCCTGGGATCCTACCTGCAGAACTAATGGAGGAAAGTCTGAAGAGACCCAGAAGGCGCTGCCGCGTCGGGCGTGTAAAAGGCGACTTCCTGCCACTGTGCATGCGCCTGGCCGTGGGTGGCGCCTGCGCACTGGGGCGGCCGCCTGCCCTTCCTGGGCGCTGAGCTGGGTGGGAAGTGTGGCTTGGGTGGAGGTGCGCGGCGGCGGCAGCTAATGGTGCTCGGACTCCTCCCTCTCCGGCCTGTGACTCCAGTCCGCCCTGTGAAAGCGGCCGTGTCTGTTTGGTTTGGATTCTCATCCATCTGTTTAAGTGGAACACACTGGAATGATTTGTTGGTGGAACCCAACGATTGTCATAATTTGCCTTTGTAGTGGGTAGAAGCCGACTAAAACGTCTGGTTTCTTAGGAGACTTATCTTCAAGGAGGATCCTTTTTAAAGAAAATAAGCATAAGGTAATTTATGAGTGCGAGGGCATCTGTGTCGTACACAAAGTAAGTATTTAACCAAGCCAGGCTGGTTGGCGTGTTCCCCACCGCCCAAACATCGTTGCTTTTCCTATGAGCCTTTCTACCGTCACTAGCCCAGCCTCCCTAAGAGGACCAAGTTCCAGGATACTCAATCAGTATCCCAAACAAAATATAATGAACTAACCTTCAGGACGCCAGTCTTCTCCATCTCCTCCGTAATATTTGCTACTAGGTCTGTTATTTACAAATGATTCAGGAAATTCTATGATACGAGTTTTATACTAGGCCTAGGGGATAGATAATTTCTTTCCCCTTACTCCAATTATCACAGGATTCTTGTACCTATGCTGAGGCTAGAACGCAGGCTTCACACATGCTAAGCAAATGCTCTGCCACTGAGGTGTATCTTCAGAACCAGGATCACAGGCTGTGTGTGTCTCACATGCATATGGATGTGGAGGCCCGAAGTTGATGTTTGGTATCTTCCTGGATTGCTCTCCACTTTGAGGCAGAACCTTTCTCTGAACCTGGAATTCACCAGCTCCAGCTAGTCTTATCTAGCCAGCTGGCCACCAGGTCCCCTTGTCTACTTCCCAAGTGCTGAGATTAACGGCAGCCACCACACCTGCCCAGCATTTAAGTGAGTTCTGAGGATCCAAACTCCAGTTCACATACTTTCCATTGAGCACAGCCCCATCAGAGGATTCTTACAAGATCATAAATTTGACAGTGAATATACTGAGGGTGTAGCCCAGTGGCAGAACATGTGAAGTGCATCATAACTGACATTGTCTGCCTTCATGAGCCCTCTCAAAGATTAGCATAGCTATGTCAGAGAGAATTTGAACTTTTCCTATGAGTACATGTTTTGAAACAGTAAGTATGAAAAACTGGGATCTGCATATGGAAAAAGAGATTCAGAAGGAACTGGCTATGGTGGTGCATGTCTGTAATCCCAACACTCAGAAGGCCAAGGCAGGGTCTGGAGTTCAAGGCCGGCCTGGGCTACAAAGCAAGATCTACTTGAAAAACAAAAGAGAAAAATAATTCAGGAGTAAATATTACTGATTTGGGGGTGGGGGGTGGAGTGAGCATAAGATTTAGTGTTTCCTAAGCCTGAAACTGTTCCTGTTGCTTTACGTAATTGATGTACTCTTTATGGCACCTCTGTAAGGGAGATACTATTATTGATTCCATTTTACAAGTGAGGCATATAAAGAACAAAAAGTGATTTATCAAGCCATGTAGCAAGTAGCAAAACCAGGACATAAACCTAGGCAGAAAGGCTTCACGGTCCTTTAATTTTTATTTATGTGTATGTGTGTACCTGTGTGCATGTGTGTGAGGAGGCCAAAAGAGAGCATCAGCTGCCCTGGAGCTGGAGTTGCAGGCAGTTATGAGCCACCCAGTGTGGGTACTGGGAACCAAACTCCAGCCCTCTGCAAGAACAGCAAATACTCTTAACTATTGAACCATTCCTCTAGCCCCCATAGTCTGTTCTTAACCATGGGCTTACCTGGAACTTGGCATATGACTCCTAATGTGTCAACAAGCCTTTACTTCAAAAATAGCACAGCAAATGAGCTGAAATTATCTCTGTGCCTCAATTTTATCATATTTAGAGGAAATCAGATTAGATGAACTTTAAGAAATCAGTGGTTCCTATGAAATATATATCATTCTATGAACATTTGCTTAAATGAGCAGCTGCTTACTTGATATAGACCAAGTGTTACACTTGGTTTGGATAAATTAGATAATGTCGACACTGAAAAGAACAGTAACAATCTAGGGTTTGAGTTTTTTTTTGCTGCCTCCCGAGTGCTGGTACTAAAGGCATGCACCACCACTCCCAGCTCTCCTGTTTACCTCTTATTGATAGCATTCAAAGTTGGAGAGCCTGAAGGTCCAGCTCCAGGATAGAGCACATGCTAAGCAGTCACAAGACCCTGACTTCATTCTCCAGCATGAAAGCCTTAACCTAAATCTTTAGAGATTGTGTAGGTTTTTCTCTCCGTCCCTGTAGAAAGCTGCTTATTTAAAGTTAACCTTGAACTAATTCTGTGCTCCATTTCCAAACCTGGCTGTTTTTGTGTATGGAATGATGGTGGTCCTGAGAGTTGGAGAGAAAATAGGATGAAAGGAAGTTCTTTTGATTACCTTCCCTTTCGAAATCACGGTGTGGCTAGCCTTTGAAGCTGTCCTAACTGGCAGTTGCTTGGTTGGGTGTTCTGTTAAGCAGCTGATCTCAAAATATAAAGTACAAAGCATTTGCAACTGAATAGAACATTTGTCAGGGTGGAGGAAAAAGATTAGAGTTTTAAATCTTAGGTGAGAGATATGAACAGTTAGCAGTGGGTCCACTCTGAACTGGTGGGAAACAGAGCCGGAGCTACTCACTTAGAAGGGCTAGGTTGTCTGTTTGCTTTATTTAAATCCCACCAGGAATCCATTTAGATATTTGGACCTGGTCCATCAATACCTAAGTTCTTTTTAAAAGAGCATTTAAAATCTTACCAAGCTATATTTTGACCCAGTATGGTCCAAAGGATCGGTTATGAATCTAACTTGAAAAGTTGTTGCCTTTGTGGATATAAATACAATTTGGAAAGTTATCAGAGCTCAGAAAGAAGGAAAAGTAAGAGCAAGATTAAGAATTTTATCATTAATCAATATGCATCTTTAATAGGCTAACAGTCTAATTATAGCAATAGCCTTACTATTCCCATATCCTCCTTTAGCATTAATCAGTATGACTTCAGGACATGATGAAATCAGAAACCAAGCTCTGCTTCTCTGACAGCCGTGTGTCATTGGAGAATTACAGAAGCAGCAGCCGCCATTTCAGACATCACGTATCATTCTCCTTAGTAGGAAAGGAAATCTTCTGCGTAGAGGATTTATATTAGCGTAGCATTCACTCATTTCTCTATTTTTAAAAATTGAGTTTCAACTTTTAAGTGTTAGAGATTGAACTTAGAGTCTCAAACATGTTAAGTATGTGTTAACTCAGCTACAGCCCAGCCCTCAGCTTTTATAACAGATATGTTATAACTAGCAAAATAAGGGGGACAGGCATTTAGCTACAATTTCAGCTAAAATTCTTTCAAACCATTACAGACAGGAATTTTTTTTTTTTTAGAATCTCATGTATTCAAGACTGACTTTGAACTTGCTATGTAATCCAGGATGACCATGATCCTACCTCCACCTCCCAAGTGCTAGAATTATACTTGTGTGCCACCATGCCTGGTTTATGTGGTGCTAGAAATTGAGCCCAGGGCTTCCTGCATGCTAGGCAAGCACTCTACTAACAGAACTACACCCCCAGCCCTAGAAAATTCATTTTTAAGATCCTTTTTTGTTTGTTTGTTTGTTTTTGGTCTTTTTGAGACAGGGTCTCCCTGTAGCCCCAGTTGAACTGGAACTCACTGTGTAGACCAGGCTGGCCTCTAACTCACAGAGATCCACCTGCCTCTGTCTCCCGAGTGCTGGGAGTAAAGGTAGGCGCCATCATGCCCGGCATAAGATCCTTTTTTAAGCCAAACATGGTGGCACTTAGGAGGCTGAGGTAGGGGGATTTCCATGAGTTTCAGGCTAGCTTGGGCTACATAGTAAGATCCAGGCCAATCTAGACTACAGATTAGGACCCTGTCTTTAACTAAATAAATGAAGCCCTTTTAAGTATTTTTAAAGCTAGAATTCATGTAACAAAATTAGCCATTGTCTGTTGTTGTTGAGACAGGCTGTGTAGTCTAGGCTAGCCTCACACAATTCCCCTGCCTCAGCCTCATGAGTAGCCGAAACAACAGGTACATACTACCACACCTACATAAAGTCATTTGTTAACTAAATGCTAGAACTTCATTACCCGATGTAGTGACTGCTAGCCACATGTGGTTATACTGAAATTTAAATTTTCCTCAGTCACATTAATAGCCACAATATAAGGCTAGTACAGAACTAGGACGTTAGAACATTTCCATCATGACAGAAAGTTCTAGACAGCATAAAAACTAAACCATTTTTTAAAGTATACATTATAGAGTCTTTAATTAAAACGGCATGGGCTTCTGTGGCAGTGTTCTCGTTTTGAAGTTTCCTAAAACGTCCTGTGTTCGGTACAGATTGCCTCACTTGCATTCAGATTTTCTGACATGACCCAAGACATGACCCTCAGCTGCTCTGTTCATAAAGGGCTGTGGTTTCTGAGATCAGTTCCTGTGCGATTTTGTTCCAGATTGGGGATGCCACCAAGTGATAAATTTAGGTATTGCATTTGGATGAGAAGGTTACACATTTTTTTAATGAAAGCATCAGTGTGTGTTTCCTAACCAATTTCCCTTCCGTGGGAACAGAACACAGTGTTATTCTGGAATCCTATTTGGAAAATGTTATAAGTGAACTTCTTGGTGTGGCTTGGTCAGGTTGTATCCAAGACAAACTGTCCTATGGAGCAAGATTATTTGATCCTCATAACTTATTCCTCAGTCACATTTCTGCCTTGGCTCAGCCATATCACCCCTTGGACGCATAACTCCCACCGTCAGTTCCAAATGGAAGCGCTTGGCTAATGGGAGGAAGTAAGATTCTAAGTAGGCAAGTGATTCTTTAACAGGCTTTGACTTCAAAACCTGAGTGCCATAAAAGGGAGGGAGGACAGAAAAAAGGGAAGCTCGTTCTTTACAGAACTACATACTGGCCATGGTGGCAGCCAGAATGAAATGTTTGTCTGCCTTCCATAAACTTAACAAAGGCTGTTTTTCTTTCCCTGTAGTGAGGAGAGAATTCTGCTGGAGGGAATGGCTGCCTCTTCATCCTCTTCTTCAGCTGGTGGGGTCAGTGGAAGTTCTATCACAGGATCTGGTTTCAGTGTCTCGGACCTTGCCCCACCACGGAAAGCGCTTTTCACCTACCCCAAAGGAGCTGGAGAGATGTTAGAAGGTGACCTCATGCTGCTTTGTGCTGAGTGATTGGCTTCAGTCCCGCCATGCATATTCACTGTAAAGAAGCTAGTGAGTGGATTAGAGAGGAATTTGCTCTCATTTCAGCCCCACATTTCATCTCTGATAATGTCTTTAAAAACAAACCTTGGGCTGGGCGTGGTGGCGCACGCCTTTAATCCCAGCACTCAGGAGGCAGAGGCAGGCAGATCTCTGTGAGTTCAAGGCCAGCCTGGTCTACAAAGTGAGTTCCAGGACATTTGGGGCTACAGAGAGACCCTGTCTCAAAAAGACCAAAAAAAAACAACTAACCTGGCTCCAGCATCACAATTTTGACATTGAACATGCTGCAAACCAAGGGCCATCTAGAATTCTTTAGAACTAGAACTCTAAGTGATTTGGCCAGGTTAGCGTCAGAGTCAGCACCAGGGCCAGGAGTCCTCTGCTCCCCTGCTCCAGGCTGCCTTACTGTGGTGCCTGATTGATGCATTTTCTTTTCCTTTTTAAAATATTTTATTTATGTTTTTAGTTTATGTATATGAATGTATTGCCTGCATGCATGTGAGTGTACTCGTGCAATGCCCGGGGAGGTCAGAAGAGGGTGTCAGATTCCCTGGAACTGGAGTTATGAATGGTTGTTAGCCACCATGTGGGTACTGGGAATCAAACCCTCGTCCTCTGCAAGAGCAGCCAGTGTTCTTAACCACCGAGCCATCTCTGTAGCCCTACATTTTCTTTTCTAATGTAAGTAATCTACAGATAGATTCAGGCCTCCAGAGAGGAAATAAAAACTAAAGTATATCCCTGTATGAAGGTGACTTGTGGCCTGCTTGAGCACAGCACTGTGGTGTTTTCCTAGCACTGGAGACAGATTTGCAGCTAACATCTTAGATATTTGCAAGCTAGCTGGCTAAGAGGAGGGAATGAGGCAACGATCAGGAGCTGGCTTTTTTGGGTCATCTCTGCATTTATATCAGATTTTTCAAAAAAAATTTTGTTTTTATGTACATGACTGTTTTGCCCACATACATGTAAATACACCTGTGTTGTACAATACCCACAGAGGCCAGAAGAGGGTATTGGATCCCCTGGAACTGGAGTTATAGATGGTTGTTAGCCACCATGTGGGTGCAGGGAATTGAACCTGGATCCTCTGCAAGGGCAGCTAGTGCTCTTAACCACTGAGCCATCTCTCCTATATCCTAGCAGAGATATATCCTATATGAGCCAGCCCCTATATCAGATTTTTTTTGTTTTTGTTTTTGTTTTTGTTTTTTTGAGACAGGGTCTCCCTGTAGCCCCGGCTGTCCTGGAACTCACTATGTAGACCAGGCCGGCCTCGAACTCGATCCACCTGCCTCTGCCTCCCAAGTGCTGGGATTAACGGCGTGCACCACCACGCCCGGCTCCCAGATTTTTTTTTAATTTTTTTTTAATTGTATGTATGAGTGTATTGCCTACATGTGTATAAGTGCACCCATGTTGTACATTGCCCAAGGAGGTCAGAAGAGGACGTCAGATCCCCTGGAACTAGAGTTATGGACAGTTGTTAACTGCCATATGGGTGCTGGGAATCGAACCCAGGACCTCTGCAAGAACAGTCATGCTTTTAACCACTGAGCCATCTCTCCAGCCCCTATATTAGATGTTTTTTTAAAAAATTTTGGGTTAAGCAACACTAAACAATGACATTATTTTTGTTTGTTTTGTTTTATTTTATTTTATTTTTGTTTTTCTTGAGACATGGTTTCCCTGTAGCCCTAGCCATAGACCAGGCTGGCCTCAGTCTCACAGAGATCTACATGCTTCTGCCTCTGGAGGGCTGTGCAACATGCCTGGCTAAACACTGGTACACAAGTCTGACTAGAGGTAGGGGCCTGTTTGTCATTTTGCTACTAAAGTACACTATAGTTTAGTTGTATGTAGCAGAGATGTGGTCTCAAAGAAGTTTCCCATAAATCAAAAGTTCAAGGCATTTAAGTTGTTTAGCAAGTTTTGTAGGAACAGAAGAGAAATCGATGCTTAACAGTGCTGCTCCAAGATGAAAGTCATTTAAATTCTACCTCTAAGAGGATTTTAATACAGGAGGTGTTTCTGCAGTCTCAAAGCTATCAGCATTCTTTGTCAGGATGTACCAGATTATGTGGAAACATTAAGGAAAAAAAGCTGAGATCACTTTGATGTTGATGTTCTAACAAGGATAGATCTATCCATTTTTACTGCTTCCTTGGGGAATGAATTAGGTTCTGTTGTAGGATAAATTTTTATTTTTTTAACATTTGTTTATTACTTTTATTTTATGTGTATGTATGTATTGCCTGCATGTAGGTAAGTGCACCTTTGTTGTGCAGTGCCCTCAAAAGACAGAAGAGGCTGTCAAATCTCCTGGAACTGGAGTTACAGACAGTTATTAGCTGCCATGTGGGTGCTGGGATTCAAACTCGGGTCTTCCTCAAGACCAACCAGTGTTCTTAACCTCTGAGCCATCTCTCCAGCCCCAGGGATAAATTAATTAAATTCACGGTATAGTTGTGGTTCTGCCTTCTGGTTTCAAAGTTTGACCAGCAATCTTAAAAGCTGCTTATACTTAATGACAAGCTAAAAACAACAGAGATAGCAACCCCTGAACTGACTTGACCAAATCAAGTATATTAATATCAATAATACAGAAGAGAGGAGGGGGCGCTAGAGAAATGGTTCAGTGTTTAAGAGCATGTACTGCTCTTGCTGAGGACCCAAGATTAGATCCCAGCACATCGACACTCACAACTACCTCCCAGGGAATCTGGCACCCTTTCCACTCTCCCTGGGTACCTGTATACACATGACATGTTTGTCATTATTAACAAAAATTATTTTAGGGGCTGGAGAGATGGCTTACTGACTGCTCTCACAGACGCCCTGGGTTCAGTTCCCAGCATCACATGGCAGCTAACAACTGTCCTTAACTCCCTTTCCAGGGGATCCAATGCCCTCTTCTGTCCTCCACGGGCATTGCACGACATGGGTTTACTTACCTATATGCAGGCAATACACTCATTCACATAAAATAAAAATAATAAAAATTTTTTTTTAATTTTAATATGTTAAAGAATACAGAAAAAGAGCCAGCAGCCAACAAGATGGCTCAGTAAGTAAAGTTGCTTGCCACCAAGACTGACCAGTTCAGTCCCAGGTCCCACATGATGGAAGCAGAGAGCTGACCCCTGAAAGTTGTCCTCTGATCTCCACACGCACACATATGTGCGTGCACACACAAATAAATGTCAAATTTTAAAAAGAAAAAAAAAAAAAAAAAAAAAAAAAAACATGGCTAGAGAGATGGCTCTGCAGGCATTGCACAACATGGATACAATTATATAGATGGAGGCAAAACACCCAAACACATAACATAAATAAAGATTACAGCTGTCCTGCGTATCTTCTGGTGTCTGACTCTATTCCACACACCACTCCACACCACCTCTCTACCTCCATATTCCACATGCCTCATCTCCATGGATACTAAAGTCAACAGATGCTCAGGTCTCTTAAATGAAATGGCCTAGTATTTACCTGTGACCTGTGTACATCCTGTGTAGCACTCCTGATATAGGAAATTAGAATTGAGGCATTTCTACCATGTTTATGGGTGATGCTGTTATACAGTTCATGTGTGTGCATCAAACCTTTTTTCTTTATTTTCTTTCTTTTTAAGTATTATGTGTCCCAAACCTGTCTCTTAACTCCCCATGAAGCTGAAGATGACCTTGAAGTTAACCTCCTGCCTCCACTTCTCAGTGCTAAGATAACAGGCATATACTGCTTATGTTTAATTTATTCTGTGTTAGAGATCAAACCCAAGACTTGGTACATACTAGACAAGTGCCCTACCATCCCCAGCCCCCATTTTTCTTACAATAGTGTAACAGAAAAAGGAAAATAGAAACCAGTCATAATGACAGATGGCAGCAGTCCCAGGAGGCTGAGGTGGCAGGATTGCTGTGAATTCAAGGACAGCCTGGACTATATACACACCTAGAAAATTAATTCCATGTAAGCCTGAGCTACAGAATGAGATGTGGGGGTAGGGGTAGGAAAGGTCTGTTGAGAGTAAGAACAAAAGCAATTAGGAGCTGAGGTTAGGTGCTAGTCAGCATCTTAACAGGTTCAACTTGCTGGTGCCTCCTCCTGTGTAGGATAATAAATGCAAATAACCTGTAGTTAACCTCAGGAATTAACTTTCTGGTGCATCTGCTCTCTGATAACAGCAGCATGTAGCAGGTTTTAACATTCTCCTGCCCTTGGCTAAGATTGTTCTCACCCAGTCATTAGTGAGCAAATTAGAGGCTGCCTTCCAGCTCAGAAGTGGCTGTATTTTAGTGACATGTAGGCCACTGATTTAAATTACCTGGCATTGTTTAATTTCCTGCTATGAAGTAATAGTCTTTTAAACAAATTTGTTAACATTTTTTTTTATTGGAGTTGGTGACAGTGTTAGATTTAGGGCCATATACTGAATTTTTCACGATTTATAAACAAGCCTTGTCCCTTAAGAGGAAAGCTGATATGTTGCTATTCAGTCTGTTACAAAGGGTTTGATTACAGTTTCTAAATGGAAGACAGATCACCTCCGGCTGACTCCTCTCTGGAGAAATTCCAGACTTCCCATTGCCTCAGATATTACATCTACTAGAATGTGGCTAAGAAGCGCTGGACTTGGTGGTTACTACAGAACTTCAGATTAGTAGAAGTGGGTTCTTAGGGCTGGAGTGCGGCGAACTGGTACCAAGGTAAACCTTTTTTTGAAAGCGTGTATCTTTTTGTTTTGCTGTTCATTACCAAGAATAATAGAACAATGTCATAGTTTAAGCATTTTCTCCTGGTGATTAAATATAAGTGGGAGGCAGCACTTGCTAGGGATCCCCACACATGTTGGCTTGATCCTTACAACCCATAATTCCCACTTCCTAGAGTTCAGGATCAAACCTCCAGGGAGGCACGCTTTCCTTCTCTGTGCTTTGCTCTTCGTAGAGTAAAACGCAAGCTGTAATTGAACTCTTTTTTTTTTTTTTTTGTAGCCCCAGCTGACCTGGAACTCACTATGTAGATCAAGCTGGCCTTGAACTCACAGAGAACCTCCTGCCTCTGCCTCCCAAGTGCTGGGACTAAAGGTGTGCACAACCATGCCTAGCTTGTAATTGAACTCTTAAAGCAGTGGCAGAATAGGGTAATGAATGCCAGCACGTTAGGTCCACAGAAGCAGTGGCAGAATAGGGTAATGAATGCCAGCACGTTAGGTCCACAGAAGCAGTGGCAGAATAGGGTAATGAATGCCAGCACGTTAGGTCCACAGAAGCAGTGGCAGAATAGGGTAATGAATGCCAGCACGTTAGGTCCATGGAAGAACGATAATAAATTACATACTTGGTATCAGGTGTTCACAAGCAGTTCCCTTCCCTCCATGGAATTCATAGCTACGTGCAGCCATTTGTTCCTATCTGAAAACACTAGTGATATCATCAGCATGCCTCAGTCCCTAGGCTGGACAGGCAAAGTCTGAGGTGTCACTGAGTGGTGGAGCATATGCTGGGCATGTACAGTACTCTGGCTTTGACCCCCCAATCCCCAGCATCCGAAGAAAGATGAACAGCCCAGGGGTGGGGAGAAAAGAAACTTGAATTCACAAACTCCTTCCTAAGAGGGTATATCATTTCTTTTTAACTTTCTTTTGTGGGGAGTGCATTAATTTGAAGGTAGTATTGGTAGGAAGCCCTTTTGGTTATGTATTTAAACCATTAGGATATGATCAATATCTGTAGTTTTCCTCTTCTCCTTGATTACCGTGACTTGTAAAGAACCGTTTGCAGGAGACTCAGGATGAGACCAGATTGTACTGTTCCTAGCTCCCCACTTAATACCGGTGCCACTCCAGCCATGATTGACGGGTGAGTGCTGGTCTGAACTGCTACCTGGAGAAAGACAGCTGAGTCCTCTCCATTTGTTTTAGAACTTTTGCAATAAAACACATGCCCCAAGTGGTTTCTGCTGCCCTATAAAAGATGGAATTTTCCTGCATGAATTACATATCTTTGGGGGATGTGTTTTGCTTGGATTAGCCTTTGTCTGACAAGGAATAACATGAGCAAGCTTTGGTCTTACAGTTGTCTTCTGAACATGTGGTGACTGAACTAGCCACCTTCTCACTGGTGGTTCTTGGCCTCAGTCCAGTGCCAGGTTCTGAACTTGCACCACACTCTTATCGTCATCCAAATTGCAGTGTTTTCGTTCTGTTGGAAAATCAAGGTTACAATTTGTGTTTACAGAATGAAACTTCCCAGCAGGGTTCTGTGATGGTCATGACGATGTAATTTGATACATTAAAAACCAACAGCTGTTTTTCCCTCAGCTTTGTTTTTTGGAATGAAAATGGTGGGAGTTTTGCCATACGAGTCACACAAGCACTCATAGCTGAATGTGTCAGCTGTCACCATCTGCCTGCCCATACAGAGCATGTTAGGGAACTCATTTGGAAGAGGGCAAATGTTGACCAGAACATCAGGCTAAGGTTTCTTGTTTTTGTTTTTGTTTTAACACTATTTTTGAACTCTCAAACAAGTAGAGGTGCAGTTTTAACATTCTAGATACAGAAGAAGCAGCTTTTACAGAGAAGTATGTAAGAAAATTTTTTTTCAAAAAGAGAATGGGTGTGCTCACTTAGTTTATCAGATGCCATTAAAACCCTGATCACAGGCTGGAGGGATGGCTCAGCAGGTAAGACCACTGGCTGCTATTGCAGAAGACCTAGGTTCAAATCCCAGCACCCACATGGTGGCTAACAACCATCTGTAACTCCAGTTCCAGGGGATCCAGTGCCTTCTTCGGTCCTCTGTGGGTACTGCACAACATGGGTGCATGTCCATACACACAGACACAACAGTCATAAAATAAAAATAAATAAATCCAAAATATAAAAATAAAACCCTGACCACACTAAAACCTTCACCTCTTTTATTTGCAGATGGCTCTGAGAGGTTCCTCTGTGAATCCGTTTTCAGTTATCAAGTGGCATCCACACTTAAGCAGGTGAAACACGGTGAGTACATGAAGTGAGGTCTGGAGTATAAACAGAAATTTATGGTAGGTGGCGAACACAAATAGTGAAAGGTCAGAGTGCTATGACAAAAGCCCCAAACTCAGCAAGACTGTTTAGGTGAATGTCCTAAACAAAGAACATTCAAGCCAGCCATGGTAGCACACACCTTTGATCCCAGCACTTGGGAGGCAGAGGCAGGTAGCTCTCTGTGAGTTCAAGGCCAGCCTGGTCTCCATAGTGAATCCAGGCCATCTGGGGCTACAGGAAACCCTGTCTCCAAAAGACCAAAACAGAGAAAAACAAAACAAAAAAAGAACATTCAAAAGTCTTAATCCAGATGGAAAACCCCTTTTGAGGTTTGATGTTGAAGTTCAAGGGTTGGTTCTCTGGGGGCTCCATGTGTCCTGCTCCAGCATTGCTCTTACCTCTCCTCTCTGAGACCTTTGACTGATTTCTTCCATGGGCTCCCATCATCATCTTCAAGTACTGATGTTCTACCCCTGGTCTTTCCACACCCCGGAACCCTGGTGATAGGATTCCTGCTTCATTGTCCTTCACCAAGTCTTCCTTACACATGAGGAAGCTGTTTCCCCTCCAGACCATTTCTACAGTAACTTTGGAGTTGAATCACTGTGCCCTGGAGAGTGAGGACCTGCTTTGTTTTTGTTTTAAGATGGTCAAGCCCAAAGTGGCCTCAAACTCTAGCTCCTCCTACCTCAGCCCCCTGAATGCTGGGATTATAGGTATAAGCCACTTACACCCAGCTCTAGGTTATTTTTATTTTGTTTTCGAGGGATTCTTTTTTTTGTCTTATGTGTTTTTGCCTGCATGTGTGTATGTGTATCACATGTATGTAGTGCCCATGGAGGCCAGAAGAGGGCATCAGATTATCTGAAGCTACAGTTTACAGCCAGTTGTGATCCATCTTGTGGGTGCTGGGAACCAAATCCAGGTCCTCTGCAAGAGCTACCGTCTCTCCATTTTTGCCATCTCTCCAGCCCCCAGCTCTGTTTCTTAGGAATATAGCACATAATGAAAATGTGATGATTGTAATTTTTTTTTATAGTACTAAGGTTCAATAAGAGACCCTGTCTCAGAAAATAAGGAGAGTGAATGGATTGACGAAGACACCACTGTCAACCTCTGGCTGCTACATGCATGCGCACACATAAAAAGCAGTGCAAATGTAGCTCTGTGGTGAAACACTTGGCTAGCTTGTACAGAACCCTGCCACTGCAGGCAAAGGAGAAATGTATAGCAAAGATGATCAGAAATATTCAGGGGTTTTATTTTTTTTTTTTAAGATTAGTCTGTGGTGGCACACGCCTTTAATACAAGCACTCAGGAGGCAAAAGCAGGTGAATCTCGAATCTCTGTGAGATTTAGGGTAGCCTGGTCTATGTAGCCAGTTCCAGGCCAGCTGGGGCTGCAAGGAAATCTCTCTAAAAAAAAAAATTAGTAGTCTTCTAGGAGCTGGAGAGATGGCTCAGTGGTTAAGAGCACTGGCTACTCTTTTAAAGGACTAGGGTTCGGTTCTCAGAACCCACATGGCAGCTAACAACCATCCATAGTTCCAGTTCCAGGGGATCTGACACACACCCTCTTCTGGCCTCCTTGGGCATTGCATGTACATGGTACACATATACATAAGATGAAAATAAATTTTTAAAAAATTTTTTAATTAGTCTTCTGACTCGAATAAGACCTTATTACTAGAATACCAAGGGGGAAGGCCCATCCAGAATTGTACTTAAGGCAGTTGTCATGTTGGCAGTGGGGGACAGCCTTATGGGACGGACGTGCACTGATTGTAGCTGTGACTTCTTGACTTCACAGATCAGCAAGTTGCTCGAATGGAAAAACTAGCTGGTTTGGTAGAAGAGCTGGAGGCCGACGAGTGGCGGTTTAAACCCATTGAGCAGCTGCTGGGGTTCACACCCTCTTCAGGTTGATGTCCCCTGCATGGTCACCTCTGGGGCACAGCCACCCAGAGAGTCACAGCTGTACTGTGAGCTGCAATGTATGAATTCACATCCATAGTTGATTACTCTGTTTCTATCCATAGACGACAAATACTCAAGTGTGTATGATGTTGCTGGGAAGTTTTTCACTTGTTTGTTTTAAAAAGTATTGGGAATCAAATTAACACAGCTTCAGAGAACCAGGAGGTTTGCAGTTTAAGAGATATTTATACATTTCCCACAAGCCAGCTGGGACACATGCCAGAATGGGCCAGCTGAATGGCGTATATCCTGTCATTCAGAGTGTCTGGAAATTTTCACCAGTCAAGTCCAAGGTCAGGATCTGTATACATTTTTGACCTAAACATTTCTTTTCACAGATGATTCTGATTTCAGCTCAGGATCTGTGTCCAAATGTTCCCTTCCCACACCTTCTTTTAGACATCTAATTCTATAGATTCTTCTTCTCACCTCTTTTGGATGTGCCAAATGGTGCTCCCACCCA